TATGCAAAGTATTGGAATCAGACAGGGTTTCTCTGTGTATGTTGTTCTAGTGATCCTGGAACTCACTCTGCTCTGCATGGTGGCCTCAAATGCAGGGATTCATTTGTCTCTGCTGTCCCCTCCCACCATGCCCAGCGTTTTTGTTTGTTTTTGAGACAGGGTCTCTCTACATAACCTCAAACCCAAGAGATCCATCTGCCTCTGCCTTCCCAGTGCTGAGATTACAGGAGTCAGCTACTATCAGCCCTTTTCACTTTAGCAAGAATAACCACAATTCCCTATAAAAGTAACAATAGAATGACAAAACCCACGATAACAGTTATTAAATCTAAAAAGGGCCTGCTGTCAGAGTAACACAAAAAGCTAGAAACCCCAGGGAAGCCAAGGCAAAGGATGGGAGTACATCAGCGGTTGGAACACATGCATATTCCCACGACTATAACCTGGCATTTGTGGACACCCTGGGTTCCAACTCCAGCAGCATGTACACATAACTGAAGCCAAGCTAACAAAAGCCAAAAACTGGCAAAGATGAGAAAGCACTTAAAAGGCCGAGAAAAAAAATCTAGGTTCACTATTTTCATTTCCTAAACCTTAAACAAAAATGTTTTCAACTTTAGAAAGCCACAAATTTTCTTCTCTGTAAATAAGTTCGGCTGTCATTTTCTTTCTCATATGAAATTTATACTACATCAAAAGGAATTAGCCCCGTGAGGTAGCACACACCTTTCAACCCATCACTCAGGAAGCAGAGGCAGGTGGGTGTCTGTTTTAGGCCATCTTGGTCTACATAGTGCATTCCAGACAGCCAGGGCTATATATATATATATATAAAAGACCCTGTCTCAAAAACAAACAAAAAGGGACTAAGTCTAATCTATTTGGGTATCAAGTAATGAAAATTAATGCCTAAATTTTATTTTTTTCTAGTCTTTTTCGAGACAGTTTTCTTTGTGTAACAGTCCTGACTGGAACTTACTTTGTAGACCAAGTTGCCTCTGCCTCCCGAGTGCTGGGATTAAAGGCATATGCCACCATTACTTAAAAATACCTAAATCTTCAAAGCATCACTTAATTAAAGTTATCTAAGTTTTGGGGCATTTTTTTGGTAAGGCAGAGCAATTTTCTTTTGTTTGTTTTGTTTTTCAATATAGGCTTTCTCTATGTAACAGTTCTGGCTGTCCTGTAACGTAGATCAGGGTGGACTCAAAGTCAGATCCATCTGCCTCTGCCTCCCAGGTGCTGGGATTAAAGGTGTGCTCCAATACTGCGTACTGAGCGATTATTTTTAAAAATAACTACCTAAGCGGGGGGTTGGGAAGTGGGGGGGGGGGGGGTGGCGATGCATGCCTTTAATCCCAGCACTCGGGAGGCAGAGGCAGGCGGATCTCTGTGACTTCCAGGCCAGGCTGGACTGACAGCCTCCAAAACAATACAGAGAAACCCTGTCTCATAAAACCAAAAACACCTAATTATCTCTCCTCTACAAGAATACATATCTTCTTTGGTGTTCAAAGACAGTACTCCCATTAAGACAGAACAAAGGGTCCTTTCTTTTCCAATCAGAAAGCAGTCAGTCCATAATTCAAAAGCAACAGTTGACAGCTTTCTTCAAGAAAGGGATCTTTCAGGCTTTGGTGGTGTAGGCCTTTAATCCCAGCACTCGGGAGGCAGAGGCAGGTGCATCTCTGCGAGTTCAGAGACCAGCCTCGTCTACAGAGCTAGTTCCAGGACAGCCTCCAAAACAACACGGAGAAACCCTGTCTCGAAAAACAAAACAAAAAGAAGGGGATCTTCCCCAATCCGAGCAATCCAAAGCCTGCTTCACAGTATCCTGGGCAAAAGCACTTTCCTGAACTTATCTCTTAAAAGTCTCATGTCTTCTCTTTCTACCTTTTTGCACCTTATTCATCTATTTTCCTTCTTCTAGAACGTTAATTCCAGAGCCCAATTATCAATGTCATCAATAAACTGCCCAAGAGAGATCTACAACAACAACAACAAATAAATGCTCAACAAAATCCTGAAGCATTTTCAATAATGCTCCACTGTTTTTTTTTTTTTTTGAGACAAGGTCTGACTACTTATCTGGCTGGCCCTAACCAGTTATGTAGAACCAGCTAGCCTCAAGCTTGCTGCAGACCCCATACCGTGCTCTCTCTACAACTAAACACTGACTCACAGGTGTGTGCCACCTTGCCTACTGTTACCTTTTGCTCCTTTGCTTTTTGAGTCAGGGTCTCACTACGTAGCTCCAGCTATCCTGGAACTATGTAGATGAGGCTGGCCTCAAACTGCCTCTGCTCCCCAAGCTCTAGGATTAAACTGTGACTGGCTACATTCTTTATATAAAATATTTTTAAATATTCCTTCCATGTAGCATTTATAAAATATACCAACAAAGCATCTAAACCCAAACATTGAAACCTTCATTTTGCTGAGGTTTCTGTGTAAAAAAACGATTTTTGAGTCACTGGCATTAAGCTCAATGTTTACAAAAGACTTATACAAGAGCAGTTACATAAAATTGGCAAAGCTGATACAGAACAGCTAACCATCTCAGATCAGTGTGTGAAACAGGAGGATTTGGTGGGCTAGGGGCAGCAACCACCACCCTAACGCATACAGTACACAAGCCTCCTATTGTGTCAAACATGGCGCTGAAACAATGGTCAGATCATTTAACAATTGAAAAATGCCCAAAATAGTTAAAGAAGCAGGCAAACGGGCTATGATGGGTGGGGAGGGCAAGAATGCTGGTAATGTTTACTTCATGTTCTGATGGTTATTTGGGTACTATAATTCTGCTTTATTGGACATACTCTGTAGGCATGCCCCCCCCCCACACCATATTTCCTAAGGCAGTGCCTTACTCAGCAAAGTCACTAGCCAAGCTGCAGAGATGTGGAGGTTTAGGCTACATAATGTATTAGAGCCAACAAGAGTAAATTCCTTGGGACCAAAATGTTTTAAGGGCTGAAGAGCTCAAGAGCCACCTGCACCCCCACCCCCAGGGTTTCTCTGTGTAGCCCTGGCTGTCCTGGAACTCACTCTGTAAGACCAGGGTGGCCTCGAACAAGAGATCCATCCAGCTGCCTCTCCGGGACTAAAGGCGCCCCCCGCGGCCAACACCACCCGGTGTCAAGAAAACTTTGCAAAAGGCTATTTTCTAGGAAAGGACATTAAGTCCTAAATAAGGTTCCCTCAGCTGGGACAGGGCTGAAAAAGCAGCGTAAGCTTTTAACTCGAATATAGTTCATGGTGGTTGGTTATCAGCAAACAGGATTTTAACGATGACTAAAAAGTAGCAATTATCTATCAAGCAAAAATCTGCAATTGCCTTGTTTGGCTTTAGTGGGTAAGAGAAAGCTAGAATGCCCATCGAAGAAGCCATTTCCCATCAGGATGCACTGGGCTGTAGTTTCTCTCAGTCTCTCTTAGGGACACTTTTGGTAGCCTGGTATCAAAAGCCAGCATTTACCTGTTTACTGACTACATCGTTGGAGTCAACAAATTGTTATGCTGGAACCTTTCCCAAGCACAAATTAAGGACCCAGAGCTTTTCCTGTCCCCCCCCCTCGACTTCTCCTACTGCCTCCAAAGGCCACATATCAAATCCCTAATTCCTCCAGAGGCAAACAAATCGCCACCGCGCCAGATAACCGTGTAGCAAACTTGCTGGTGCTAGGCTACACTCATTCGCTCATTAAGGACCACAACATCCATCACATCCTAAGTTCCCACGGCAGACTTTTTAAAGTCGGCTACCGGTCTCTTTTCCCTGGCCTCGATAGGGCCAAGGAACGAGCCTGCTAGCTTAATGAGCAGGTCTACAGAAACGCGTGGGGGTGAGGCTTTCTGCTTCTCCTGGATCAAAAACGCTAGAAATTCCTGGTTAAGATTCTGCTCTCGGGATCCAGGCGGCCTTGTTACACAACCGATGCCCGCGCCGTAAAGCCACTGCGTTTTTGGATAAGGACGGCGGTGGAGTTAACACATGATAAAATCCAAGCCTCCGAGTGGGGAGGATGTAGATTTTGGGGCCCACGCTGGGCTCGGGGCTGGGAGCCCTCCAGGGTGCAGCCCGGCAGCGCCGAGGCTGGCCTGGAGGATAATGGGGCTCCTACTCCCGTGCCGGCGCCCCTCGGCTCACACGTTCGCGACGCCTTTGTGTTTGTTTTTAAACCTCACTCTCTACACAAGAAACACTTGCCCTCAGGCTAGCAACGGCCTGGAGGCTACAGGGGCCACCGAACGCGGCTCCGGCAGCCGCCATCCGACCCCTCGCCTCACGCGCCCTCGGGGTGACGGGCTCGAGGCCCAGGCGCGGTCCCCTTTGGGCTTCGGAGGCCGTAGGCCCCGCCCACGTGGCGGGAGCCCCGGAGCACCCACACCGACAACCGCCACACAAAGGAGGCCAAGGCGAGCCCCGCACGCCCCGGCTACCGCGCGGCCTTCGCGCGCAACGCGGGCGCCGGAAGGTTCCAGAACCAGCCCGCCTGGTGGGGGAGGGGAAACGCGGACCCCCCCGCCCCGCGCTCGTCGGGTCGCGGCACGAACCCCAACCCTTTTCGGCAGCTCCACCCAGTCGTCTCTGCCATCCCCAGAGACGAGCGCCCCTCAGTTTGAGTGAGCCAGCCGTCGCCAGCGCGACCGCGCAGCCACTCCACTCACCCGTGGACGCCATTTTCTCTCCTTCCTCCTCGTTCTCTCAACGTCCGTCTCCCTCTCGCGTTCCCCCTAGGCGCCGCACTGCGCAGGCGCGAAACCCGCAACCCCGGACGCTACCATAGGCCCAGGCCACGGGGGTGGGCGAGGAGGTTTGAGGCAGTGATAGTCCGGGTCTTCGCTCCCGAAACCGTTGGCCCAATCCTCTCTAAAGAGCCGGACGTGACGCGCGGGTTAAAAAAGAAAACACCTCGGGTGCCAGCGCGCTAGTGAGCGAGTGTCACCAACAAACCCGAGGGATCCTCGGCACGAGGCTTGGTGGTTTGGAATGGTTACGCCCGCCGGCTCTAGGGACCGTCTCTAAAGAGCCTGTCCTGGAGGGAGACGGAGGCTGGCGGGAGGGCTGGGGGAAGGGATCCCGGCCTGGAACAACTGCTGACTAATCGGCAGGCGGGATCACGCGCCCGGGGTGCGCGCAGTGGGTTTGGGGCACCTAGCTCTCGGCCAGGAGCTGGCGGCCTGACTCCCCAGGCGGGCCCCGCACACGGCCTTCCAGGGGACGGGGGAACCTGCTTCTGGGGACCTTGGGCGCGTGGCCCGAGAGGGCGGGGGAGGGGCCGGAGGTCGGTCGGCTGGCGAGGGAGGCCGGGAATGCGGCGGCCGGCCCCAGTAACCGTCGGGCTGAGAAGCCCTGTACTCGTCCTTCAACCAGTACCCTGTTTTAACAGAAAAGGAAACCTGGCCCAAGAAATCGAGCACTTTCCCCAAAGTTACAAAGCTGAATTCGACCCAGACCCCGGGACTCCCCCTCCGTGCACCACCCGGAAGCATCTTCCCTGTTCTTGAATTCCCATCCTGCCCTCCTGGCTTCCGATCAGGTAGGCAGGGTGTGATGGTGCATATCTAAGAGGGCTCTGACGAGGGCTGCGGAGGGACTCTGAAGCGGATTGCTTGCGTGTGAAGGTCTTTTTTTAAGAGTTACACCGTGGACAGACTAAGACGAACAGTAGCATGGCTGACGTGGATTCCGAAGAAATCGGGGCCCATGTGGGAGAAGTAGGCGTGTCACACCTTTCTAAGGATGGGAGTGGTTTCCTTCGGATTCCCTGGCGAGAGGCGGGGAAGGGAGTGGGGAGCTGGCTGCGTGGCCGCCGCCGGTGTAAACTCACTTCCTCAGGTGGGAGGTCCGGGCACCCGCAGTCTGTTGACTAGGGACTTACCGTGAAAAGCTGCTGCTGCTGCTGCTGCTTGTGTCGTGTGCTAGGAGCAGCAGCTGAGTTCATGACTCGATTCTTACAAGTTTTATGTTATTAATTAAAGATACGGTTGGAGATAGCGGCTCAATGATACTGCTTGCCTAAGATGTGTGGGGCCCTGGTTTCCATTTCCAACAACCAGAAGAGACTGGCCCCGGGGACTGGGCGCCCAGTTCTTTGCGTCTATGGACCAGTCCCTTAGTGCCCAGGGATGGAATGATTGTGAGAAGGTGCAAGAGGAAGCTTCAATATAGGTGACCCTGTCTCCAAGGTAAGAGTGAAATTGACATCTGCCTGCTTTTCTAAACCCAGTACCTCAGGTCAAGGACAAGTTCACCCCAAATTCCAGAGTTCACCCCAGCAGGACCGGGGGCCAAGCTAATATGTCTTTCAATGAACACATAATCCCTTGAATATGTGCAAAGAGTAGTAGCCTGACGAACCTGGAGAGGGAGCCTCCATCCTCCTTTATTTTTATTTTATTATTATTTTTTTATTTTTCGAGACAGGGTTTCTCTGTGGCTTTGGAGGCTGTCCTGGAACTAGTTCTTGTAGAACAGGCTGGCCTCAAACTCAGAGATCTGCCTGCCTCTGACTCCCAAGTGCTGGGATTAAAGGCATGTGCCACCAACGCCCGGCTCATCCTCCTTTATTTCAAACCTCTTGGGAGAAAAGTCAGACTTTGCTCATTAGGGTAAGATTCACGATGTGGGAAGGGGGCATTTGAGAAAAGGGCACTGCAGGCAGAGATCCCCACATTTTCCTGTAGGAAACTGGCGTGCGCAGGGGAAGGCCTTGGCAAGGAGGCTAGCTAGGTAATCAGTCTTCCTTCCTACCCTGAGTCATCCCCGTAGGAGGCTTGAGAGGATTGCTGGGGAGTGATTGCACGGCCTGAAAAAAAAAAAGAAAGGAAACAATGTCTGCTCCCAGAGTGTAAGGAGACCCTGAGTTGGGCCATGTGGGGAGGGGGAGGGGGAGGGGAAGGAAGAGGGGAAGAGATGAAAACCAGGTGCAGCCGCCAGAACAAAGAGAGCTGGTAACCAAAATGGTTGGGTTATATAGGGAACAGCCATTCCCTGGGCTGGAGGAGTTCGGGGAGGGGGTGGAGCATGCTAGCCAGCAGGGCCCGGCAGGGACAGAGGGATTGCAGGGTGGAACCTGATATGTTAAATAGGCAGCTCAGCCTATTTAACATATCAGTTAGGTTTGAAATCTAACTGGAAAAAAACTTGCTGCATGGGCAGGGAATGACTGGACCAGCTGGGCCTTCACGTGTAAGCTATCTGTGCCTCCCATAAGTAATGAGGTGGTCCTTTGGGTTTATTGAGAAAGAGCTGGGGGCCAAACCAGGTGCGATGGTGTAGATTTGTGACCCAGTACTCAAAGCCTAGGCAGACACAAGATAATCTCACATTGCAGGCTAGATTGGTTTCTGTGTTGACTTTGACTTTGTTTAAAACAAGCAAAACTTAAAAAAAAAAAAAAGAGAAAGCTGTGGGCCTCCAGTCTTTTCCTTTCTCTTATGATCCTGGAAGCAAAATGTGCCTTAATCACCATTTCACAGACTGGGAAACTTGTCCTCGAACACACAACAGAGGGCTGGAGCAAACACCAGGGCCAGGGCAGGGAAGAAATAGTGCCCCAGCTCTGAACCACTTTGTAAGGCTTGGAATAGGGACTCCTGTAGCCCATTCCAACCCTAAGCTGCTTGTCCCATTGGTGGGCCTCATGAGGACTCTTGGTCAAGGGCACCTGAGGCCATCTGGACTCCCTGCGGCCGGGCACAGAAAAGAGGGAGGGGGGGCGTGCCATCTTTTTGGCACTGGAGGGCCACAGTTCAGCTTTGCTGGCCCTTATCTTCCTCTTCAGTGCCCACCAGACTCTTTTGTTTTTTTGAAACTGACTGGTTTTTGAACTCAGTATGTAGCCAAGACCTAAATTTTTCTTTTATTCTGTTTAGAGCATTGGGGAGCAGATCCAGGTGCCCATGTATGCTAGGTAAGCACTCTCCCACTGGTCTGCATCTCTAATGACCTTGTATTCTCGAGTGCACTACCACACTGGCCTGGTTGGGACATTGTGCATGGCCCCTGACCACCCCAGACACGTGGGCAGGCAGGATAGGAAGGTGGCTAATAAGCACATAGGTTGGGGCTTGAGCCCACCATGGCCACACTACTGGACCTGCCTCTGCTGGCTCAGTTTTCTGCCTCTGTAAAATGGGACCATTGGTAAACTAGTTGAGAGGGAGTGAGATAAAAGCAGCAAGAATAACTTGTTACTCTTTGTTTGTTTGTTTATTCCAGTATACAGCCCCAGGACCGCTGTTGACTTCCATCAGCCAAACTATGCATGCCTGGGACTCTCCTGGCTCAGTGTCCCGGGCACTGCCCCTTGCTTCCTCAGTCCTGATGCTCCTGATGAGCTGCCTGTGGTTATTAGGGGCTGGCCCCAGCCTCACATTGGCTCCAGAGCAGCTGCTGGACCCCTGGCAGGGTGAGGACCAGCTGCATGGTCCTTGAAGGATGCTAGAGATTTACTCTGGGGTCTGAGATCAGTTAGTGGAATTAGTGTGCAGCTTGTGGTGGTCACAAGGATAGGACTCTGTCCCAGGCAGGTTAGCCTGCAGACATGCCCAGCTTGTCCACAGTCAAGGAGGGCAGAGTCCTGTAGAAGGTACAGAAGGTGTGATTGGAAGCTGTGGGCAGGAGTTCTGACAACATCCCTTTCTGACAGCTTTCCCTAGAAATAAGAACTAAAATTTTCTGCCAAACATGTACTTCCCACAAAACCTCCAGTTTACATTTGAGGAACCCAAATGATGTTCAGAGAGGTTAAGCAATTTTTCTAAGGTCACGCAGCTCTGTGGGAGTGAAGAGGTTCTAGCAGGCAGTCCCATTAGAACTTGTGCTATTAACCAGTGCAAAAAAGTGACAATAGCGTCATTGTACTTGGGCCGTAGTACCACTTGGTATCTGGTTGCTAGTGAGAAGACTGTGTGTTGGTTCCCATCACTGTAACTAGAGAGTATCTGTGGTGTCGAGAAAGAAGCCTTTGATCCCCTCTACCAGTGATTAGGTAGTGACACTTGACATACTGGCTCCCGGGCAGGGGAGGCTGGCTACCAGGTGGCCCTCGTAAAGGCTAACCCATCCCTCTAACCCGGCGCCCTTCTTGTTCCCAGTGCACCGGCTCCTGACCCATGCTGTGGGCCACACGGCTCTGCCGGGCCTGCTCCTGAGCCTGCTGCTCCTGTGCACGCTGGGCTGGTGGCAGGAGTGCCATCTGGGCACTCTACGCTTCCTACACAGCTCCGCCCTGCTTGCCCTGGCCACTGGGCTGCTGGCTGTGCTATTGGCAGGCCTTGGGATGTCCAATGCAGCTGGAGGCTGTGGATACATGCCTGTCCATCTGGCCATGCTGGCAGGGCAGAGCTACTACCCTGGATGGCCCCAGGGGACCCTGCCACCATGGCTGCTCCCATGGCTGCTGCTGGCCCTGACCTTGCTGCTCAGCTCTGAGCCGCCCTTCCTACAGCTCGTTTGTGGCCTTCTTGCTGGACTAGCCTGTATCCTTTGCCTGAGCCCAGGAACCATGTGGACCTGCGGCTGGGCCTCCGGGGTACCTCGGAAAGAAACGGAGTAAGGAGACCCTGCCCAAGCAACGTCAGGTGTCCTAAAACCTGCTCCTGGCACGTCTTTCTCTAAGCCATGCTCTGGGCTGACGACAGGGTTCATGGCCACAAGGAGGTGTCCTTATAATCAGAGGACCCCACGGGATGCTTGGGAGAGCTGAAGGGACCCTAGAAGTCATTAACCTGGATCCTGTGTGAAGGTGGCAGCGGAGAGGAAGGCTCAGAGCGGGAGTGAGCCTGGGCTTTTGGGAACTGAGGGCCAACGTGGGGCCCATGGTCCAGGTATCTTTAAATGTAAACTTTGCTCCCAAGATATGGGGAAATAGCCACCAAAGAGAATAGGCTGACCATACAACCCTTCAGGCACTCGCAGGGGACCGTTTCAGAATGCAGACTCCAGCTGCTTGAGTCTGGCTGACAGTAGGAGGTCCTGTCTTCAGGCACACAGGGTTATGTAATGGCCAGGAAAGTGGGGTTTGGGGAAGGCACACTGTTCTCTGGCTGAGTACTTTCAGGTAGGCAGTTTCCTTTTGTTTTCAGCTTCAGCTGCTCATGTGGTCCTGGGGGATGTAGCAAGGGGAGACACATGAGAATGTTCAGCACATTCCCTTCCCCCCAGTTCAGTTTGGTTTTCCTTGACCTGCCGCCCTGCCCTGGGCAGGCAGATGCTGCGGGGGCCTTCCGGTGGCTGGAGCTCTCAGAGCGGAGACTGCAGGTGTTACAGAACAGTGTCCTTTGCAGGGCTCTGGCCCGGTGCTGGCCACTAAGGCTCCTCCCCACCCCAGGCAGTCTGGCTGACCTGCCTGTCACTTATCCTGCTGGAGTAAGGTAAGGGTGATGCCCGGGGTTCAGCATTGGAGGGTGGAAGTTGCGACAGTGGCTGGCTGCGCAGGCCACCCACCTCTCTCCCTACAGGCCTGCCACCCCTGGATCTCCTTACCTTGTTTCCCCAAACTCCTGGTCTCACAGTGATGGCTCTGCCCAGCTTCCACCAGGCCTGGGGCCTGTGCAGCTCCCATGGAAGGACTCAGAGAGGGGCTTGGCCTGGGCTGCATCCACCTTTGCCCCAGGAACCCCGATGTGGGCAGCCCTAGACGAGCAAATGCTACAGGAAGGGATCCAGGCTTCACTTCTTGATGCCTCAGTTCAGGGTCCCCAGAACCCGGTGTGGTTGCCCAAGTCCTCTGTGTCTTCTCTCCGGTAAGACAGGGTGGGCAGGGGTGCGGCTCCTGATGTGGGAGTTACGCTGCCTGACATTTCTTCCTTGTCCCCACATCACAGGCTGCAGCAGCTGGAGCACATGGGATTCCCCACTGAGCAGGCCGCAGTAGCCTTGGCAGCTACAGGGCGTGTGGAGGGCGCAGTCTCTCTCCTGGTTGAAGGGCTGGTGGATACCGAGGCCCTAGTGACCGAGGGGAGGAGTGGTCCCGCCCACTGCAAGGGCACTGGGCCCTCATAGTCCGAGAAGAGAGTAAGGACTTAGGCTTGGCCTGAGTCCTTGCCCAGTCTACTGTGGGCTTGGGAGCTTGAAGACATCCCTGGGGGCAGGAGTAGGCCCCAGAATGCTCTGCTACTTTATAAGAATAAAAGTTTTCAACCTGGCCTTCTGAGTGGCAGTTGTCCTGTCTGGCTCCTCCGTGTTGGCATCAGGGAGGATAGGGAGTGAGTGAACAAGCAGCGAATGAGCGGCTGGTGGCAAGAGGGTGACTCCTGGTGTCTAGGACCACAGGGCTCCTGCCCCAGTACCCTCAGCCTAGGTGGACCCTTCTGGCCGCAGCACACACAGACCAAACTGGCAGGGTCAGGCAGGAATGTTTATTGTCCAATACACAGCAATCCATGCATGGCATCCGCAGCAGGTACTTGGAATGGGGGTCCCTTGTACACATCCATCCCCACATGGGACACCGGGGAGTGGGGTTTGGGTAGAACTGACAGAAGGAGTACCAAGCATTCAGTCAGGGATTAAGCAGTCTGCACTCAGATTAGAACTCAGCACCAGAAAACAGGACTCTCCAAGGTTTGAATGAGGGGAACTGAGACTTCTGCCTCCATCCTTGCATGTCTGCAGGGCCAGGCAGAGTCCCAGGTCCCTATGTTAGAAGGCTGGAAGACCTCCACCTGCCTGCTTAAGACCTTGTCTGACTTGTCGAGCAGGCTTCCCCAGTCCCTGCTTAGTCTGTACATACAGGCTGTCGTCACTGAGACCTGCCTGCCTACTGCTAAGGCCAAGATGGCACAGGGGTCCCTGAGGATATTCATAAATAGGAACTGGCAATCTCTGGAGGCAGCTGGCCAAGTCCAGGCTAGGGGAGGAAGTCTGGTGTGGAACCCTGAAGAGTCACCACCATCCTCAGCTCCTCTCGTTGCGTCTCCTGGGGGTCACAATCTGGTAGCTGGTTGGGGGTCCTCCCCTCTTGCCTCGAAGGAGGCTGGGGGTACCTGTGCCATCGGGTCCTACCCCCGATCCCAGCTCTGGTTCTGCCGGAGGGAATAGGAGAGAAGCTATGTTAGGGGGGCATTCACATGGGGAACCCACTCTTAGCCCTGGGAGGTAGCTGGGTACCCTGGCATCCTAGAGACAGAGCTGTGGGAAATAAGGGTACTGAAGGCTGATTAGTACCTCCCCACAACCTCTGAGCCCGCAGCCCAGAGAGAACTCCTGGCCATCCGACACCCGATTTGTCTGATGGGGTGGCCAGGCTCACCACATTAACGTTTGGCATACGGATAACACTCCCTAAGTAATCAATTGTTTGAGGCTTCATTTGGAGTGAAGGTAAATTCTGCATCATCCAAACTTCACAGCAAGTAAACTGTTAGGGAAGAAACTTCCTTTTTCCTTGGGTTACAGCACCATTTGGAGGAAAGGGCTCAGTAGAGTCCGACCCCAGTTGTCTGACTTCTAAAATCAGGGACATTTTCAGATAGACTCTGAGGCCCTATGCGGCATCAACAAAGACTGAAATCAGTTACCAAAGGAGTTGTGGTGAGATCTGCCCTGATCTGCATATAAGCCGAACCCCAAGCATAAAACATAGCATGCAGCCGGACGTTGGTGGCGCACGCCTTTAATCCCAGCACTCGGGAGGCAGAGGCAGGTGGATCTCTGTGAGTTCAAGGCCAGCCTGGTCTACAAGAGCGAGTTCCAGGACAGCCTCCAAAGCCACAGAGAAACCCTGTCTCGAAAAACCAAAAAAAAAAAAACCAGCATGCTTGTGTTCCCCACTCCCCAGGAAAACTAACAGCTTTCAAAATCCAAGAAGGAGCTCTCTTGTCCAGGAAACCCACAGTATCCTTTGGTAGCCCCTAAAGCCTGGGAGGAGGTCAGGGTAGGCTATTTTTCTAGTGAGGGAGAGCCTCATGATAGGTGCTTGGCCAAGCCTTCCCCTGTTTAGGACAGAAAGTTGGAAGCTTGATGAGGACCGCTTCCCACGGAAGGCACTGCTTAGGGATGGGCCTCTAGTGGGGCCTGACCCTTCCCAGGTTCCTTGTACACCCTTCAGGGGCTGTCAGAAGCACGGCCAGCTAAAGACAGGTCACAGTGGCCTATGCAGCTCTTCCATGCTACCTAGCAGTCCCTTCTCCTGTTGCACTGAGAGGAGGGGGCAGCTGCGAATATGGAATGTGGTCCTTTGTTCCCAGTGGTCCCTCAGGTCATTTGGAGGCAATGGGAGATGAGACAGGTGCCAAGAGGCTTCAGGCCAGGGACTTGCTATATCTCCATCAAGGGGAGACTCCAGTCTCCCCTCCTAAGGCAAGGACAAGGCTGGCCAGGCAGAGGATGTCTGCCAGATAGTCCCTGATGTTTTTAGAGTTTAAAGATGCCACATGGCTAATGGGGAGTTAGAAACAGACTGTGCACTTGGGGGGGAGGCAAAGTTTTGCTCAGTAGCCCAGGCTGGCCTCAAATTTGCTATCCTCCTGTCTCAGCCTTCCAGTGCTGGGATCTTAGGCATGTAGATCCTAACCATTCTTGGCTTGGACAACCCACACTCCAACCTCCAGATCTTATCTCATATGAGCTTTCCTGTCACCTCCACCAGGCACAACCATGTATCTTCTATGACCCCACACACGGTCCCCTCTTCCAAGAAGTCGCCAATGTCTATCAAGAAGGGCCCAATCCTTAGGTACTCCATTTAAGTCTCTAAAGTGACTGACTGGACAGCTCCCCAGAGCCCAGCTACTTTGCAGGGCCTACTGGCCATCGGAGCCTAGCGCTCAGTGGGTGCTTCCTGGTTTTGCCAAACTAAGAACTGCTTTAACCCCGACCCTCCTTCAAGCGCAAGGCCTCAGTCTTTAGTTTTATAAGGGGGGAGGCTGGACACACTATGGACGCCTCTGGGTACTGATGTGCACATGGGCTGTGAGACAGGGCAGTGGCTGAGAGGGGCAAAGGGAAGCCAGTGGGCGGGGACTCTCAGTGGGCGAATGAGAAGCAGCCCCTTCCTGTGACCCGCCAGCCCCACCTCCCCACACCAGCTATAGCGCCTTAGCTTCGCCCTTGCAGCCAGGTGCAGGGGAACCGACTGCCCCCGCCTCCAGCCAGAAGCCTGATCTCCTCTCATGCTGCTTGAACTGGCCTTCTAGAACCTTCCCAGCCCAGCTCTGCTCAGTGTTAGTCTTCTCCTCTCAGAAACGTTGAGGGAAAACCCTGTAGACATCTTGATCTCTGATCTTCCTCTGCTAGTTCACTGGCCTGTGATCCTTGTCCTTCTGGTCTTCAGTGAGGTATCACCTCCATGAAGCCCTCCCTCATGGTGACAACAGAACCCAAGGACTTCTATAGGTGAGCAGCCGTGTCCCCAGCAGGCCAGAGGCATATCTATGCTCGCTGCTCCGTCACTTATCTCTTCTTGGCTTTTGCTACCAGTGTCAGCACCCTACCCCAACCCTAGGCTGCACAAGGGCAGGGCTACGTCTACTGGCTATGTTGGAGCCTGCGCCGACAGGTGACTGCCAGAACAGGAAAGCTAGTTCTCTGTGCCAGGCTCTGCTTCCTTGATGAGTGGAAGCATCCAGTGTCTTCTGGCCCAGACCAAGCACTGGGAGGCATCTTCTTCATGCCCAAGCCTGTCTCAGGCCCTTCCTGGGAGGGTTTGCCCCTGCCTGCCCACCCTGCCATTACCTGGCCAGATGATGGCTTCCAGCAGGGTGACCCGTCTGGCCAGGAGCTCCAGCTGGGCCTGCTGCTGCAGGAAGCTCTGTAAACTAGGAGCCTGATGGGAGATTGAGAAGAGCAGACGTGCGAGTCTGGACTCTGAGGGCTGGGCCGGGATCAAGGGGTGGAGGGAGAGAGACGCCGATGGGCTTCAGGGCAGCAATCTGGGCCGTGTCCACCAGACCTCAGGGTCCCCCCAGAAGGTAGGGAGAGGGTGCACCTAGCTCCCCAGGTAGCCAGATGGATGGGAACTTAGATCTCGCTCCCTTGAGCCCTGAGAGGGAACTTCAGGACACACTAGGAATACAGCGGCAACTAAGGGAGGGATACCTGGACCAGGAAGGCGGGTCCTGCCAGTGTGTCCAGAAGTTTATGGGAAGCTGATCAGAACCGGCAAGTGGTCTATGACCCAGTGTTCTCCGGGTCCTGAGTCTGCCTCTGTCACCCACAGTTCCCTACACTTTTGGAATCCAGTTACGTTGCTCTAGATTTATCTAGAGTTGAAACCCAAGTTGTCAACATCTTTTATTTATAATTCTGTGGGCTTAGGCTCTGACTGTATGACCCATGACCCCAGTATGGCTACAGTCTAGCTGTTACCCACAATCCCTCACTGATCGGTAGTCTGGTTTCTTTCTCTTTCCTTCCTTCCTCCCTCCCTTCCTCCCTCCCTCCCTCCCTCCCTCCCTCCCTCCCTCCCTCCCTCCCTTCCTTCCTTCCTTCCTTCCTTCCTTCCTTCCTTCCTTCCTTCTTGAGACAAGGTTTCTCTATGTAGCCCTGGATATCCTGGAACTCACTTTGTAGACCAGGCTGGCCTTGAATTCACAGAGCTCCTCCTGCCTCTGACTCTCAAGTGCTGGGATCAAAAGCCCATGCCTCCACACTTGACTTAGGAGTCTGGTTTCATTACCCATGACTTATTGCAGATCTCACACTCTTGTCTCCAAGCTCCTGAAGTCCTGTAACCCTCAACACCCACACTGCCTAGAGAGAGGCACGAGGGTGCGTGTAGGAGCAGGACTTTCCCCTGTACAGAGGGGAAGGTGGGGAAGCCTCTGCAGCCTAAGCTGCTTCACCCTCAGAACTAGGCCAGTTGCACCCCAGGAAGCTTTGGGGGAGGCTGGAAGGCAGGGCTGGTTTGGTCTGTCTGTCTCTACTCACCATAGAGCCCAATCATTGTTTCCAAGATTAAAACCCTCTCAGCTAAAATCTTCAAAGCCTCGCGTAGTTGGTGCAACCCCTCCCCCTGTGGAGAAAGAGACAGATGCAGCCGTGATGGGGATCGGGAGGGGACCCTGCAAAGCCTGCCACTGCCAGTGGCCCCTACCCCACCCGGGACAAGCGCCTGTAGCCCTGTATCACCCACCACAGCCCAAGACCCACGGACAGCCAAACAAGACGGAGATGTACAGGATGCAAGGCAGGAGGAAGCAACCCT